ATGCATGACATTATAATTCATTGACATTGTTATTTTGCATGTACATATACAATTACAATTTTACATGTCTGTAGATTGTGTTTAGACCAGCCTCATTGCAATACTTCATATTCATGCAAGTCAGTTCAGAGATATGGAGTTTGATCCCAATGGTCAGTTACTGTATCCTCATTGTGCTAGTACATTTTACTAGTGTTTAGGTGATACTTACTTTGATGAAGCAGTTGATGGTTTTTGAAGGATCTCTTCTCCATTTGGAAGGTACAGTACATGCAGTGTGTGTATTGATGGACACATTCATTGCACATGAACATTCTCCTATTATGTTGTACATGTTCTTATCACTGTATTTCATGAGTTTTGCTTTAAGCATAAAAACATAATTCACATTCTCTCTACAAATAAATGTATAATTCTTTCTCTTTGTCTCTGTCTCTCTCCCTCTCTCTCTCCCCCCCTCTCCCTCTTTTAGGTGTGATTCCATTGATAAACTCTGTAAAAGGTGTGAGACCATTAATTGAAAGATACAGGACTCACAACAGTTCAAGGACTTCTACCAGTTTACGTTTAATGTTGCCAAAAACCTGGGCAGAAAGGACTAGGCTAGTGACATAATATTATACATGTACATGTAAAATCATGTTTGCTAAACTTGCCACACAATTATTTCAATGTACACGTGTTGATGGGGGAATTTTGCAAGTGATCCTACTAAAATTTGAGAATACATGTACATGTATAATTTAATGTATATTGTATGAATTGATTAAAATCTTTTGTGCTTTTTATTTCTCTACAGATCTTGAGATGGCCATTGCCTACTGGAATCTTATTTTTACTGGTTGCTTCAAATTTTTGGACTTGTGGTGTGAATTTTTAAGAGTAAACAATACTTGTCATTGCATGTAAAGGTCACATTTCATCTCTCTCTCTCCCTTTCTCCCTCCCTCTCTCTCCCTCCCTCTCAGTCTCATTATAAAAAAGCTGGCAATACCCAAAGACACTTTTAACCTTCTGCTAGAGTTTTCTAACAGGATTGATGACACCATGAGCAATTATGATGAAGATGGTAGGTCTATACTGTATAAATTGTAATGTCCTCCTTTTTAAATAATTTGTATTTTGTACAGCACTTTAATGTATGGCAGCTTTATTTCTTTGTAAATTTTTTGATGATTTTATGTATATACATGTACAGCACTTCAGGGGTGTATCTAGGATTTGGAGAAGGAGGGTGCTGAGGGCGCGCGAAGCGCGCTGCGATTTTGTCCACACCCATTTTTACGGCAGTAAAATGGCCTTTTCCTGCATTTTCGTCAATTACGGGGTGGGGCCAAGATCATTTCAAGCATACTGCTATGTTACTGGTACTTCTGATTGCTCCTTAAAGCACTGGAAACTGCTGAAATCATGATAAGGGGGCTAGATAACTTTGTTAAGAGGCTTGGTAGTGATGCAAGAGTCCAGGAGTTCAGTAATTTTTTCTGAGCCCAGCCCTGAGGGGGGTGCTCAAGCCCCCTCAGCCGCCCCCCTAAATACGCCTCTGGCACTTTACTATGAACATGTACATGTACATTAATGATTATATGGTTGGTTCATTATTCATAGGTCAGTATATACTCTAACTATGTACATGTACAAATTCCTTGGTTCTTCTTTGTGTCTGATCCAGCACTACTGGAGATACTGGGAAATATATTGGGTATCTGAAAAATACCCAAGGCCCATGGTTTGTTCCAAAAAATGGCTCCAAAATCACCCCAAATTTTTATTACATTATCAGATACATATTGATGCCCTTATGCTGTGTAGAAAATTTGAGGTGATTCCGACTTCAATTTTTCAAGTTACAGCCATTTTAAGAAAAAGCCAAAATTCTCAAAAATACCTAAGGCTATAGCCTAGGGTTTTTTCCAAAAAATGGCTCCGAAATCACTCCAAATTTTTATTACATTTTCTGATACATATTGATGTCCTTATGCTGTGTAGAAAGTTTGAGGTAATTCCAACTTCAATTTTTCAAGTTACAGCCATATTAAGAAAATGCCTAAATTCTGAAAAATACCCAAGGCTATAGCCTAGGGTTTTTTCCAAAAAATGGCCAAAGTATCGTCCCAAATTTTATAAGATATTCTGGTACGTAGTGATATCCTTATGCTGAGTAGAAAGTTTGAGGTGATTCCGACTTCAATTTTTCAAGCTACAGCCATTTTAAGAAAACGCCAAAAAATTCTCAAAAATACCTAAGGCTATAGCTCATTGTTTTTTCCAAAAAATAGCTGAAAAATCACCCCAAATTTTTATTACATTTTCTGATACATATTAATGCCCTTATGCTGTGAAGAAAGTTTGAGGTGATTCCAACTTCAATTTTTCAAGTTACAGCCATTTCAAAAAATTCCAAAAATATCCAAAGCTATACACGTACAGTCAAACCTGTCTAAAACGGTCACCTTGGGACATGCATTTACATAGGCGGCTGCAGGGGCAGGCATTGAGGGCAATGCCCTACTAGAATTTTTAACCGGAAGATGACATCATCATAATTAGCAGTTAATTAATAGTCATTTAGTAATTATGACATGGTTTAATTCATCATTATAGCTAATTTTAATGACAAAAACTACATTATTTTGCTAAAAAAAGTGATAATTAGTAGAGAATAAGCTGCTAACTGCATGGTTTATTCACAGGAAGCCAGCCAGCCACTTGATAGGTCCATATCTATGGCCACCTCAGGAAGACATAATCTACAGTAACCTGCAGCTAGAATAACTGACTCTTTCATATAGCAGCTTCATTGTTAATCATCATAGTCAGCTAGGACTCATTGAACAGCTAAATCACCTAGCTACTGATACTCTGTATTGAAAGAGGGCCTTTTAGGTACTGAATTTTCTCCTCTGA